TGAAAAGCTGTTATTTGCCTAGGGTTATCTAGCAAGTGTCTGAGGCAGAATTAGAACTCAGGTCTTCCTTTGTTGTTGTTGTTATTTTTAATAGATTTTTTATGTGTCTGATTTTTACATTGTTTGGACTTGCCATGTATCCCTTCTCCCCTCTACTGGAGGAATCTTTCCCTATTAACAGAGAGCTTAGAGGACAGCTAGGTGCCTCAGTGAATAGTGCATCGGCCCTGGAGTCAGGAAGACCTGAGTTCAAATTTGACCTCGGACACTTGGTACTTACTAGCTGTGTGATCCTGGGCAAATCACTTAACCCCAATTGCCTAGCCGAAAACAAAGAGCCTTCTTGGCTCTGTGGCCCATTTTTTCTGATCACTGCTTTATGTTGCCTTTTGTTAAAAAAAAAAAAAAAAAAAAAAAGGCAGTCATCCTTTAATCCTTTTTTTTTTCTTTTTAAGAAAAAAAAAGTGATGTACCAAAGATTGTACTATTGTAACTAACACTTTTAGAACTAGTATTTTATATATTCTCATTTGACCCTCACAAAAACCTTGATGCACTAAATACAATTATTCCCTTTCCTGATGAAGAAACAGAGGCTGAGGGGCAGCTAGGTGGCGCAGTGGAGTCAGGAGGACCTGAGTTCAAATTTGACCTCAGACACTTGACACTTACTTAGCTGTGTGACCCTTGGCAAGTCACTTAACTCCAATTGCCTCACCAAAAAAAAAAAAAGAAAAGAAAAAGAAGAAGAAACACAGGCTGAGAATGGTTGAGTACCTTGCCCATGGTCACAAAGAGAAGTATGAGAGATAGAATTTGAACCCAGGTCTTCATGACTCTAAATCTAACCCTGCCTTGCTGCTTCTTAGTAATATTATTCTGACACTGGTAAATAGCCTGGGGAAAATTTAGGGGGATTATTATTTTTAGAAACCCTAGATTTAAAAAAACTGTTCAAATTTAAATACCAAGAATCCTATCCATAGAGTGTTATCAGGTAGCATCACATTGGCTAATTTGGTTTTTTGGTTTTTTTTTAATCAGACCTGGGATTTCTTTCATCAGTACAGGAAAATCCCGGTGAAGGGTTGCTTCAATATCTGCTCATCAACTCGTGATTTTAGAGTCGCCTGGGGGGCCCAGTATGTGTTAGAAGTTGGACTTGAGCCCAAGTGCTTTTGACTCTGAGACCAGCCCTGGTTGGAATTCCTACTGTGTTCTATTAATGTTGTATGGCTAAGTATGATTGAATTCAACCAACATTCATTAAGCAACTACTATGTAGGAGCAAGGCATTGCAATTAGTACTAGGAAGGTGTAGAAATAAAAATGAAAGAAGCCCTCTTCTCCAAGACCTTATTCTAATGATGTAGGGAAAGGTGTGGGAGTGTGGACGTCACTATTATAGTACAAAGAAAATGGAGATAGCACCAAAAATTTAGAGTGGGGGGAGAGGGGAAGAAGGTGGTCAAGGGTTCCGGATGGTATCTGAGTTGAGCCTTGAAGCCCAAGTTTCTGAGAGGAAGTGCCTGGGGATAGCTTGGACACGTGCACAGAGCCAGAAAGATGGGGTATTCCCAATTCAAGGTATGACTAGTAGTTATTTGGCAAGAAAATAGAATGCTTGGAGGAAACAGGAAAGGTAAGGTGGCAACATACTATGTAGGGTCTTAAATACTAGGCCAAGTTTGCACTTTGTCCTGGAGAGAATGGGAATTCATTTAAGCATGTTTTTTTTTTGAGTAGGGAACCTTAGGAAGATTCTGAAAGCTGGATGGAGAGACAAACAGGAAGACTAATTCCCATGTTCTTAAATTAGTTCATGTTGATGATTCAGCCAAGGTCTTTTCCTGGAAGTATTACTGATTATTAATTTTTTATCAAAAAGTGACATTTTATAAGAGCCAGCATGGAAAGAAAATTTACAAGCAATTGGACTGCACATGTGTCAATTCTTTTAGTTAGTTTTGCAGAACTTCTCCTTCCCTTTTTTATTATTAAAAGAGATGGTGGGGAAGGCTTATTTTGGGATTTGAAGACCAAAAAAATACCAATTTTTAAAGGGTTAAAATAAGAGTTTTAAATGAGTCAAGGTTATCAACAATAGGAAAACACACAATAAGCAATTCATTAAAAATCCTGTTTCATTACTCTACTTTCAGTGGTCTGTCTTGTGTGGGTTTTAACTGTTAAGCAATATTGGAGTAACTTTCTCTGAAGTTCAGTGCACCAGGAAGGGACTGGAATTGCACTTCTGACTTTATCTCCTCCCTGTTCTACTCTAAGTACCAACAGTGAGTGATTCCCATCGAGGACAACACAACCTGGTCACACAGCCCCTACCTGGACTAACAGAAACAAGGCCACTCCAGGCACCTAAGCAGGACCCAGACACTTTGACAACGGGCAAGGCACTTAATGTCTGTGCCTCATCTGTAAAAGGATATTTTATCTACAAGGTTATGCTAAAGGTTAAAGCAGGTAACTTATTTTTTTTTCCTTTTTGGTGAGGCAATCAAGGTTAAGTGACTTGCCCAGGGTCACACAGCTAGTGTCAAGTGTCTGAGGCCACATTTGAACTCAGGTCCTTCTGACTCCAAAGCCAGAGCTCTATCTAGTACACCATCTAGCTGCCCCAGCAGGTAACTTATTAAAGGCACCATGAATGCCAACTTCTTTGTGCCACAAATACTCATTTCTTTTTCGTATGCCTAGCCTCATACACCTACAGGAATAAGGGATTGCACTTCACATTCTTTGAATTAGACATAACTACTTGCTAGATTTTTCCTATAGATTAAATCATCTTGACACTCCAAGACAACTTTAAAGTACAATTGAGGAAAACGGGCAGATTCAAGGGACTTGTCCAAAATCCGTGACAGATGAAAGCCTGGAACACAACGGTTCCCTAAGGCAGCGCTCTTTACAATCCACCCTTATGCAAGTAATATCCTTTTACCTGGACAATCCTCACATTTAAGGTGATTTTATATCCTATTTTTCTAGTCACAAAATTGTCCAATGGCACTAATGTCACACATCTGGCCAATATCTTCTCTTTGCACTCTGTGATTATTCTTCAACCCTCTCAAGTAAGTCAAGATTGCTTGCACCTGAACTATTTTCCCCTCATTCTTTTATCCTTCCTTGTACACCCTCCAATGACTGGCTACAACTGACATAAGCTGACAAAACTGGCCCAGGGCAGCTTTAAGAACTTGTAAAATGAAGTGGAAAACTTATAGATTATAATATGTATTATATATATAAATCAAGTTAATCATTTATGGGCTAGGTAATCCTTCCACGCCATCACAGCTTTAGTCGCTCCCCAAACAAGATACCAAGAAACATATTAAGGAATGAAGACAGACCATGTCAGACATAAAAACTCGGTTTTATTTATAGTATTCAACACTTGAGCTTTTTTTTAAAAAATCAATCGGGGACTTCCAAGTACCATTGATCACTATCATTAGGTGAGAGACTTGTAACTGCAAGCTAACACTGCTAGACTTTGAAATCAATTTAGACCTCAGTCATACTTCTGCCCCAAATCTTCATCAAAACAGTCACATCCTGCACTTTCCTATTTCCGAATCTGACCTACATACTTAAAAGTTCTAAATCACCCATCCCAAACTCAATTTATAGAACTTGCCTAAGTCAAAAGGTCTAGCAGACTGGCAGGGCTGGGATATACTTTTCTTGTCATACTTCCATTCCAAAATGGCTACTAAAAATAAAAATCATAAAAGGACTCTAAAACATTCACGTCAAGATGAGGCAAAGGCTTGTTCTGTCATTTCTTGTATTCCCCTATTCAATCTAGACTGCCACAATCAGGCAGAGAGAAAGCGCGAGGAAATTTTTTCTTGCATCTTAGTGGAAACCTTAAAAGCAGACATAACTGCTCCAGGTCTGTCAGAGATGCATAAATGACCTATTCATCCGTCACATCACAGAACTGAGAAGTCGCTCCATGCCCTTCTAGTTTTTTTTTTTCCCCAAACAGGTTAACTGCACTCCTGTGATAGCTAGTTATGGCTTATCAATCCTCCTTCCCCTCCATTTACCTAAAAGAAAAGAGAATTTTTTATTTGCGATTCCCCAATTGCTTTCTCTACCTTAGGTCTCTCTCCCCTATGCCTTAAGGATTAACATGCATAAAGAAATATCTCTCTTCCACTTTTTACTATTAGTCTGCTTTAACAATCTACTCACAGCTAGTAATCTTGCTCATATCCCCCTTTTCATTCAACCTATTTACAATCCCTCACCAGCTGCCCTTTACATGATCTGCATCCTTTTCTACAATCCCCTAAATCTCAGGCGTTTGATCTCCCTGCTGACTCAAAGTAAACAACCTGGATTTACAGCTGGTTGATAAATAAGCTCAGTCAATACTCAGCTTCCAATAGTTTTACAGTTTCATTTTATTCAGTTTGGATGTAATCTCTTCCAGAGTTAAGTCTACTTCAGCTTGTAGATGAAACGAAAATGTAGCAAGGTCTACTTCATATTGTTGGCACATCTGTGGGCATCTCTTCCCTTTTTCACAAGCAGTCAACTGTAGAAAAGTCTATCTGAAGAGTCTTACGCTGAAAAGTAACCTTAGACCAGGCAGTGATCTCTACAACGATCCTTGAGGTACAACTTGTAGCAAGTTACTGTAATTTGAGCTTAGAAAACATTAGACCAAAAGGAATTCTCTCAAATGGGTTTAAATGCGTTTTATTTTAGACAACCTACATGACATGTTTTTAAAATCAATGCCTCCACTCCAAATGAATCAAGGTCAAAAATAAATGAATAAAGCTCAAGGTGACATCAGTCCAAGTTTGTCCAAGTCCTGGTGTTGACGATGACAAAAAGCAGCAGCCAGTTATGATGACAGGTGATTCAAAGTAATCAGCTGAATGTGTTACTGCAGTAAAAGGAGATAGGTTAAAAGGCTTTCCCCCGATATTAAACAGAAGCAGCTACTTCTTTGATGCAAATGTATTCCTCTGTTCAATCTGGGCTGCCACTAAGACAGACAGAAAGCGCCAGCGAGGACTTCTCTTTGGCACCCTAGTGCAAACCAGTGAACAACCGTAACTTGTTCAAGGTCTATCAGTGGATGCAGGTAAATGACTCATCAAAGCTTACCTAATCTCTGATGAACAGAATTTTTAACCTTATTTGGCTTCACCCCCACTGCTCTTAATAAACTTACCTTTTTCAGCCAGAATTTTTGAACTTCATACAGAGGCATAAGCTAACAAAATTGTTTACTTGTCTTTTCTGAACATGTCCTAAAGCACTTGTCTCTCAACTTTTTCTCACAACATTCACTTAGACTGGAGATACAGCAACTATCTATCCCAAGTCTATCTACCCATCCTTTAAAAATAAAAGTACTGCATTTCTAGTTGTTACATGGATTTTGTTGGGGTTTGCCTGCCCAGCATGGGGAGAGAAAACAATGCACATTAAAAAAAAAAACAAACTAAATTAAAAGTCCTGCATTCCATCGCTTGTTTTATTGAAACTTTCCCAACCACTCTAAGATGAATCCATCTCTACTTCTTCCAAACTTATTACCCATACAGGGTGTCTCTTCTATAGTAAGCTTTTAATTAACTTCTCATGTTTATGCACACACATTTACCATACAGGACACTGTTCACTAAGTGACCTTTCCAACAGAGTTCTATGATTCACCACAAATGGATTATGAACTCCCTGTGTCCCCGCAATGGCTAATCTGCTGGTGCCTTACACAACAGCAGACCCTTAAGGAACTGTGACCCGATTTTTGCCAATGAACATTTTCTCAGTTAAACCATCAGCACTAATCTTAGACTAAAACACATGCTATGATTGCTGTTAATGAAATGTAGCCTTGCAAATTTAAACAGTTATTCTCAATGCTTTTAACTAGTACATCAAAGTCAAAATGAGAACTATTAAGCAAATTTTGAAACATGTAAACATAACATGCCCAATAGGACATATGTATGGAAATCTACCTAAACATTTCGGATCAGCCAACTTTTGGTCATGATTAGAAACCTATGGACATATGATTGTAATTTCAGCATCTAAAACTAAGCTTTATTACAAAATTCAGAAAAACTTTAAACGAAAAAACAAAACATTAGACCGGGACTGTTTATGGCAAGAACATTAAACTTTTGGCTTTTATATTTCCTATATCTAAGATCACAAAGAAACCTAACATTCAACTATGCTTCATCATCTACTTTCAAATAGATCGGGTGTTTTAATTGCTTTTTCAGAAACAAAATATTTTATTTTTACTTACACATTTCTCCATTTCTAAACCATCCTTAAAGAAAATCATATATGGAGTCACACCATCCTCACGGAAGTCCAAGAGAGCCACCATGCCATCTGGATTCATGTTTTCGCCTATGAAGAACTTGGGGGAGGAGGTGGGCGTCAGGAAAGATAAAGCAACAGTGTCACCAAGTATATGATGTTTCACCATCATGATGATACAAGATACTGGGACTCCACATCCTCTTCCCTCCCCAATCACAAGTCTTCTATTTCTAAATTCAGGACTTTTGATGTACTACACCAAGTAGCCTCCCCATTTTATTCATGTACATTCCTATTCAAAAATAGAGCGGGAGGGACTATAGGATAGAAGGAGGATTACCAACAAAAACACAACTGGAATTCCATGCAAGGCTGCCTTAAGTTATTTTACTTCTAATAGAATGTTACCACTCCTAGTATTTTTAAGCCAACTACACTGTACTCTGGATCAAACCCTCAGATCTCCCCAGAATAGTGTGTAATGTCATTTGTGATTAGAGCTCCAGAAATACAGCTTGGGGATATTATACCAACCCTAATAATTTGAATCTCCGAAGTATCCCAAGTATCCCAAGCTAAAACAAAACATCCCACAAGCTAGCAAACTATACACAGATTCCAAAATATCCAAGTGGCCAAACATTTTTAAACAATTTGGGGAAGGACAGTTAAATTGTTTATATTCCTTTGATCTACAACTTCAAGATATTTACCTGATAGTTTTTAAAATTAGCAAGGATGTGTTTGATCTGTTCTGCAGCCCCCGTCATAAAAGGTTTTACTCTATCTGGCTTGTGTTCTTCAAGTCTGCCTTTGATTCTAAAACAAAAAATTCTATTTAGTTTTTCTAAAATACTGAATTCTAAGAAAAAACTGAAATTGTTTTCTTACAATTAAATGTCAAAGAAAAAAAAAAAGAAAAAAGAAACCCAAAATATTCACAATGGTTATATCATTGCAACCTCCATATTGCAAAATGGCTTTTTTTACATTAAAAACAAACAAAAGCTCCCCCAAACTGTCAACATTAAGACAGAGTAGTTTTGTCCATATCCCAAAAATTCTAAAGAGGCTTGCTTACTAGCCACAGTGCTAATGACACTCCCAGGACACTAAATTCAAGTGTTTCATGCCAACAGATCTTTATAATCTAACTATTCCAATTCTTCATAATGCTCACCTAAAAATTTTGCACACTATTGTTGTACCATAATGGTTCTTAGAACAGTTAAACCATTAGGTCCTGGGCTACCAGAAATACTGAATAACTAACCTATATTCAAACCTTTCAGTTACTTGAAAGACATCAGTAACTTACGATTTCATGTAGTCTTTGATGTACTTTTTGTAGGATTCTTTTGTGAAACTAGTTTCTTGCAGATGATGGTTTATTACTATGTCAACTCCAGTGATTACAGTGGCATCTGTTCCTTCACCCTCAGGACCTTCAGCAGAGGCATTTCCACCGATGAGTGAATCATCAATGGTACCCTCTGTCCTACTGACCATCTGGGTTAGAAAAAAGAAAGAGGGGTAGGAAGATAAGAGTACAACAAAAAATATTTTTAAGATCCTTACGAATAAGCTGCTAAGTGATTTAAATAATATAGTCAACTAAGTAAGGCCTGCAATATCCATATGTTACCCAAGAATAATGAATAATGTTGAGGCAGCTTTCTTTTTTGGTATCCTACTTGTTATTTTAACAAGAGTATATGGAGCTCCAAAGGAAGGAAATTCCCTCTACTCATTTGTCTACCTGTTGTGCAACAGTTGCCAAAGGATACTAGTCCAGGGTCAGGGTATGTGTCTGAAATGGGACTTAAACGCAAAAGTCTTCCTAACTTCTTTTCACTCTTACTAACTGGTTCTTTGTATTACCACTTACTGGTGGTAGCTTTGGTAAAGCAAAACATAAAGGCCCTGAAGTCCAAGACAAAGGATTAAGGGTATGGTTAGCCTTTAGTGAAGACGTTTAAACCAGATGACTTGGGTCCTGGAGGAGGCAGCAGCAAGCAGGAAGAGCAGAATGCCTGCCCCGGCAGGGCTCCAGGGAAGGGGAAAACTGCTGAGGATTCCGAGGGGAAAGCCCGTCCCGCTCCCCCCAAGGTAGGCCGACCCTGTCCGCCCGCCTCCCCCCGGCTGCAGGGAGCCCTAGGCGCCACAGGGGGCAGCAGCGCCCGTCGGGAGCGGGCCTCGCTCTCCAACACCTCCTGGAAACTTCGGTCTCGGCGGGGGCCTTCGCCAGGAAACCGCGTGTCCTCCGCCAGGAGGCCGATTGCACAACCTCCCTCCCTCCTCCTCCCCACGCCTGCAGCCTGGGAACTGCGGAAACCCGAGCCACGCCGCGCCGCCACCCCCGCCTCCCTCCCCGGCCCAGGCCTCACCTTCCCCTCCACCTCCAGGCACAGCCCGTTCGCGATCTCCCGGATCTTGTAAATGTCGGAGAACATCTCATCATCTGCTCGGGGACAGACAGACTTGGGCCCCAGCTCACTCCCCACCGGCCCGAAGCAGGCGCCCCGATTGCCGCTTTCCCCCAGCACAGACCTCAGCGGCAGGGCCGCCATTTCCTCCCTCCCGGGGGCCGCCGGCCCCGCGCGCGCGCCATCTCTCTCCCCCTCCCCCCAGCCAAGACCCGGAGCCCATCCGGGATCTGGAGGCTTCGCGGCCGGCGCGCGCCGCTCCTCTCCCGCCCTCGCGCCCAGCCGGGCTCGAGGCCCGGGGCGGCGGCGTCCTCCTTCCTCTTCCTACCCTCCTCCCCCAGCTCTCCCCCTTTCCCCTGCGCGCGGCAGCAGGGGTCGCACGGGCAGCACTCACGGCTGATGAGGTCCCGGTAGATGATCATGGCGGCGGAAGGAGGGAGGCGGCGGCGGCGGCGCTAGCGCTGCGGGGGCCCGGAGCTCGGTGTGAGCGCGATGCAGCCGGAGCGGCGGTTGGGGGGGGAGGGGGGAGCGGGCGGAAAAGGCCGAGTCAGCCGCTCCCCAACCTCATATAGAGGGCACGTTCCCCCTACGTCACTGCCCCCCCACCCCCGTGCATCCGGAAGCCCTGCAACCGGGGACGTGTCACGCAGGCCCCGCAGGGGAGGGGGCGTGGGGATGGAACCGAGAAGTATCCAGGCACTTCTCCGCCGAGACACAATGCTCCCTTCCAATGGGGTCGGCGTATCCCCGGTGCCCGGGGGGAGGGGCGGAGGGGCACCGGACCCGGTCTGGCCGAGAGGGGGGTCGGCAGGCCCTCCGGGGGTGCCCCCGCCGGAAGGGGGTGGGGCTCGGGTAAGGACGGACCTCTCGTCGTTGGTCCCGCCCCTGGCTCCGCCCCCTTCGGCTGGAGAAGACCAGCCCCACGCTTGGGCTGCGGGCGAGGCCTCCTCGCGCTCCCTGCCCTTCGCGCCCGGCGGTGGCTCCCTGCCCGCGGGCAGCCGAGGCGAGGGAAAGCACTTCTCGCTGCCCGTTCGGCCGTTTGCATAAGTTTGGGAGGCTCGGACAAGCCTCCCCCTGTGGATCTTGGTCCGCTCCGGCCCGGCCACATCGGCTTTGTTACGGGGCTGAGCTCAGAGCCGATGAACGAATAATGAGGGCGAGGGTCCTCCTGACCTCGGAGAGCGCCCACCAGCCGCGAGGCCGGACGTCTCGGGCCTGTCCACCGCCCGCCTGCCAAAGGACCCGTCGCCCCCGCCTTTCTCGTCTTGAAATAGACGTTGCTTGCGGTCACTTCGAGCCCTGAAATGCCCGGCGTATGCGAGTGAGGCTCTCAGTGGCCATGCAGCCCAGCCCTGCAGGAACCATCAAAAGT